TTGACTGCTCCTCTGCTGCTAGTTCCTCCTTTCTTCTTCCTCATTATCCTCACATTTCCTTTCTTCTCTGCTGAGCATGCCAAACAAACATTTAACCTTCTCCCTTGAAAACCTGGCAGACTAATCAGGTTCCTTTCCCTCTGATCACTCCCACAGATACCAGCTCTGGTCAGCCCAGGTTTCCGAGACCCAGATTTTCCGTTAGTGTTTCCTTCCATGTTATCAAGCATATGCTTCAGCAGCGGCAATTACAGTTTGATAAGCAGATGCAAGTGTAAATTTGTCAACTATATGCCAGAAGTCCAAAATCAGTATATGACAATCCCTCACACTTTTCCATTACGCTCCCTGCATCTGCATCATCCACATGTTCAATGATTTTGTTCTTTCATTTTCTCACATGACTGACTTTTGGAGAGAATTTCTGTTGGAAAAATCTGTACAGCAGTGACAAGAACGAACACAGAAACAGAAAGGAGTACCTGGGACTTCAATCCCTATCCTGCACCACTGGCCATATCTGCAATTCTGTTCAAGTATCAGATTTCTCCTCTTGTCAGAGGGCTACCCCACAGTCTCTATTTAAATAGAGGCAGCAGCTGGTTTCAGTTTACAGAAATAAAAACTGGACCTCACACTTCACAGCAGAAGTTATCTAACCCAGAAGTTCCTCAGGTTTCTTTTATCGACACAAACCCTGAATTATACAACCCATCCTTTGACTCCAGCAATCACATTAGAAGCAAAAGGTTTAACATGGAAGGTTCAGTTAGCACCAGTTTTGCATTACTATACTTTAATACAAGGCAAGAAAAATGAGATAAAAGCAGTTATGGAAAAGTCTCAAACAGATCAAAATCATTCAGGAAAAGTAATGGAAGAGTCAAAAACTCTGATCCCCTCCTCCTTTTCAGTGCCAAATTAACATTTAAGTAACAAAGTCAAGTACTCAAAAGTTTATTTGCTTACCTCAGCTTCAACTGAGTCTCTCTGGGGTAGATGCTCAAAGACAGATTCCAGCAAGATGGTATCACAGCTAGTCTGGGAGCAGAACAGAGTTTTTCTAGTTCTATTTTGATATTTCCCAGACCAGCAAGTACAGTGAAAACATGAGTATATGAAAGGGGGGGGGGGGGGGGAGGGAGGAAGGGGAGACAGAAGAGCAAGAGATAGAATTTTACATTTTTTTCCCAATATAAATATGTTCTTGTTGAGATTTGGGCTCAGTTCTGATTCAGCTATCATTGCTGATTATTTTGACAAGCCAAACCTAGCTGACTCAACTCCTTACTGTTCTAATTTAAAGCAGGGAGAGCCTGTAAAACACAACCTTAAAAATCAAAAACTTATCTTCCTCGTATAAAGCACAATAATGCCGTACTAAGTCCTCTAAGAGTAAGGACTTACTTGCAGTATACTTGTTCTTTTTTCATAGCATTCCTGTTTTGTACTGTGCCCTTCACCAATGCTGTCTATTAAATAGAGTGGTGCCTTTGCGATAAAATATGCTATATAGATGTTAATTATAATTATTATTCTCTTGTGTGTGACTCACTTATTGGACTCCTTTTCTTGTAAATCTGTCATAGGATCTGCTAAAGGCCTTCAGGAAAAGAAAGATGCCAAAGAACATTCTTTCAGATGTGTTGCTTAAAAAAGGAAACAAAGAAAAAAGGAAAACCCTAACCCTACTCTTCTGTGAATCTGCAATTACTTCTTCTTTTCTATCCTCCCAGTCTTAAGAGTAAACATTTGAACTTCCATGCTATAAAAAATACAGGCTAGCATGTCAATCTGTTAGTCAAAAATAAGGCAAGATGTATCTCATTCGACAGCATGCGAATGGCAATGTCAGCGCATTCTAGTATCCTGATCCCAAACTGAGTTCCAGATCTCAAAATTAGTGCAATCAGAGACAAAGTGAATGGAAGAGAATCAGCCACAAGAACAGACAGAACAGCTGGTTCTTGTGACTTTTTGCTACACAATTTATCAAACTTTTCCAGCACTCACTCTTTTGACACTTGTAATCTCAGACAGTGACTCATCTTCACTAACAGGCTGTATATTTCACCAAAGTTTTGCAGGACGTAGAGGTAACAAAAGCATTTAACTTCTCTGAAGTTATTTATTTATTTTACTGTTCACTTTATTACTCAAATAATCTACTACACCCAACATCATTGCTTAATATATTAAGATGGAGAAGCAGCGTAGTTCCAGGTTTTCCACTGACACTGCCCTTTGTTTTTATATTGTGTATTGTTCTGTTTTAGGCTTATTTTGCTTTTTAAAATATTTCTCAGCGTTCCAAAATTCTGTTTTAACCTGTCACTTTCTGTGTTTTGTTGTTTTGTTTGGTGTTATGGACTGCATTGCTAGTTTTTAAAGAATACCTGGTAAGCCTTACCGTGCAGCTGTATTGCATACCCTTCAATACTGTAGTTCTTTTCTCTCCTTAACACATTCAGAGTTCGGCACAGCATAACTTTGTCCTTATGATGGTAAGGCATATCACACCATAATCTTCTACTGCAGTGAATTCTACTGCAGTTTATGACATAACTCAGTGAATTCTACTGCAGATTATGACATAACTCAGGTTGGAATAGACCTCAGGAGGTCCCTAGTCTTAACTCCTAGTCAAAGCAGGGTCAACCGTGAAGGCAGACAAGGTTGGCTCAGGGCCTGATCCATCCAGGTCTTGGAAAAACTCCAAGGACAGGACAGAGAGAGGCACAGAGTGCACAACCTCTCTGGGCAACCTGCTCCACTGCCTGACTCTCCTCATGGGGAAAAAGTTTTTCCTTATATCCAATTTGAATCCTCCTTGTTTCAACTTATACCCAGTTTCTCTCTTCCTCCCACCATGCACCACTGTGAAGAGCCTGGTTCTGTCTTCTTGGTACGCTCCTTGTAAGTATTGGGAGGCTACCGTTACATCTCCCTGAAGCTGTATCTTCTCTAGGCTGTGTGAGCACTGTTCCCTCA